TCTTTTTTTTTGTCTTTTTTTTTCTTTTTTTGGTCTTTTTTTTTTAAGTGCTTTTTTTTCCCCTTTTACTGTGATTTTTTTTTCTCTCTCTGTGTGTGTGTGTGTGTGTGTGTGTGTGTGTGTGAGTTTTTTCATCTCTTCTGGGTGTTTCTTGGTTTTTTCGGAGGCGGGAACGATGTGGGTGGGTCAGAGCGTAGGCTCAGCCTCCATCGGCTCCTCCACTGGTCTGGGAAGGGGAGGGACACGCCAAGGTGGAGGACACGTGTGTTTCACACACCCCACACCCTCCCCGGACACACGTCTGTCACTCCCTCCAGGACACACCTGCTTCATGCACAGCCCCAGGGACACGTGTCCTGCCTGAACACACACATGTGGCTCCATGCACAGCCCATGGGACACACATGTCCCAGAACACACATGTGACTCCGTGAGCATCCCAGGGGAACATACATTCCCTCCCCCCGAGGACACATGTGGCTCCATGCACAGCCCAGGGGACACACGTATCCAAGAGGACACGTGGCTTCTTGCACACCCCCAGGGACATGTGTGTCCCCCAAGAACACACATGGCTCCATGCACAGCCCATGGGACACACATGTCCAAGAGGCCACAGGTGGCTTCTTGCATGCCCCTAGAGGAACATGCAGCCCCCCCCAATGACACACATGGCTCCATGCACACCCCAGGGGGCACCTGTGACTCCATATAGAGCCCTGGGGACATGCACACCCACAGGGACACGTGTCCCCCAAGGACACACATGGATCCATGCACACCTCCAAGGGAACATGCAGCCCCCCCCATGACACAATGTGGCTCCTTGCACATCCCAGGGACATGTGTCCCTCCCCACAATGACACATGTGGCTCCATGTGTCCACCTCAGGGACACGTCTCCCCTGAACACACACACATACGTGGCTCCACACCCACCCCAGTGACGTGTGTCTCCCCTGAACACACACATGTGCCTCCATCACACCCCAGGAACATGTGTCCCTCCCCACAATGACACATGTGGCTCCATGTACCCCGCCAGGGACACGTGTCCCCCAAGGACACACATGGATCCATGCACACCTCCAAGGGAACATGCAGCCCCCCCCCCGACACAATGTGGCTCCATGCTCACCCCAGTGACACACGTGTCCCACCCCATGACCCATGTGCCTGCACACCCAGCAGGGTCCCCAGGGGCCATACCTGGGCTGGGGGTCTCCCCCGGCCTGCTCGGCGCCCACCGAGAGCAGGGCCATGGCCGTCACCGTCTCGGCCTCCTCAGCCTCCCTGTGCTGGGCCTCCAGCAAGGACCGGCCCACGGCCGCCGCGAAACGCCGCACGGACCCCCAGTGCTTGCCTGCCGGGGGCAGCGTGACAGGGGACACCCGGGCTGGGACAGGTCAGGGGACCCCCAGGGACCCCATGGCTGAGATAGACCCAGGGAACAAGGACCACATGGCTGAGACAGACTCAGGGGACCTCCAGGGCTGCAATGGAGACTGGGGCTGCTGGGGACTCCCAAGAACCCCAGGGCTGAGACAGATGCAGGAGACCCCCGGGACCCCATGGCTGAGGTGGAGCTGGGGGACCCCCACGGCAGGGACAGACCTGGGGGACCCCCAGGACTGGAACAAACCCAGGGGACCCATGAGACCCCAACAGCTGAGATAGACCCAGGGGACCCCTGAGACTCCCACAGCAAGGACAGACTCAGAGGACTCCCAGGAACCCCATGCTGGGACAGATCCTGGGCACCCACAAGACCCCCATGTCAGGGAGAGCCCTAGGGACCCTTCTCGGTCCTCCCTCAAAAGAGAGACAGTCCTCAGGATCCCAGTGGCAGCACTGGAGACCCTCCAGCTCCTTCCACAGCAAGGACAAACCCAGGGCCCCCCCACTGGGGTCCCCCAGTGACTCTTTTGTGCCCCCCCAAGATAGAATCAGCCCTGGGGACCCCCCAGAGGACCCCATCAGGGTCTGCCCCTGCTCCCCGTTCTCACTCTGGATCTCGATGACCTTCTCCAGTGTGGCCACCGCATTCACATTTGGCTTCTGCTGCAGCAGGGATGGATCCAGGGGCTCCAGCTGGGGAGAGGGGACACACATCAGTCCCCCAAAACTGCCACCAGCACCCCCAAACCCCCCTCAGAGAGAGCAGGGATGGAACCACAGCCCCTCACCAACCCACAGAGGGAAACTGAGGCACGACATGGGGTGGGCACCTCAATACACCCTGCCCCCAGGTGGGGTCCTCAGTGATTGAGGGGGTCCCCACCGTACCTCCAGGCCGAGCAGGGCAGAGACACAAGCCTCGGAGGCGTCGCAGATGGCTGTCAGGTCATGGCCTCCCTCCAGCGCCAGCACCACCCGGCCCCCTGCCAGCATCATCAGCTGCTTCGTCAGGTGTCCAAAACCTGGGGGCACCGGGAAGGGGGGGTGAGGGGTGGCTGAGCCGGGGTCCCCAGCCCGGGACGCCCCCGGACCCCACTCACACTTGGCGGTGACAGAGTAGCCACCGAGCGGGGACAGGTGGCCCTCGACGGCGTCGAAGCCAGCGGAGACCAGCACCAGGTCTGGGGAGAACTCCTTGGCGATGGGCATCACCACCGTCCTGGGGGGCACAGGGTCAGCCAGGGGCAAGGGGACCCCCCCCAGGGCTGTGGGGAGCCCCTCAAAGTGCAAGGATCCTTCCCAGGGTACAGAGAACTCCCAGGACACAGGGATCCTCTAGGGTTTGGGAACCCCCTGCAGGACACAGGGATCCCCTCTAGGGAGTGAGGAACCCCCCCAGGAGTGCAGAGACCCTCCCCAAGGTGTAGGGGAACCCCCAGGGTGCAGGGTCCTCCCCCAGGACATGGCGATCCTCTGGGAGGACCACCCCAAGGGTACAGAGAACCTCCCCCAGGACATGGGGATCCCCCTGGGTTGTAGGGACCCCTCCCCAAGGGCACAGGGATGCTCTCAGGATGCAGGGACCTCCCCCAGGGGCATGAGGACCCCCTCAGAACTCCCTGGGGTGCAAGGACCCCTCCTCAAGGGCATGGTGACACACCCCTCCCAGGATGCAGAAACCCCTCAAGGGCACAGGGACCTTCCTCCACAGGGACACCTCCCCAAGGATGCAGGAACCCCCCCAAGGGCATAAAGACCCCCCCAGGACACACAGACCCCACTAAAGGGGCGCAGGAACCCTCTCCCCAAGACGTGGAGACCCCCCTAAGGGCACAAGAACCCCCCCAAGGGCGCAGGGACCTTCCTCAGGGTACAGACCCCCCCCCCAAGGACATGGAGACCCTCTCATCTGGACCCAGCAACTCCCCTTGAGCCCAGGGATCCCCCCAAAGGCTCAGGCGCCCTCCCAGACCCCCACCTGAAGGCGGTCAGATACTCCACGTCCCCGATCGGGGGGTCCACGCCGCCAGTCCAGGCGATGTTGATGTTGTAGCCCACTCCCAGCCCACTGCCCACCTGGGACACAGCCACAGGTGACCCCCTGTGCCACATCCAGGGCTAGGGGGATACAGGGCGACCCCCACCCCTCCCCCAAGCCCCCCATACCTCCTCAGGGGCCCCACTGCCCGGGAAGAAGTTGCCGTCGTCGTAGCGGTGCAAGGAGATGTAGAGCACGTGCGGGTCACTGTAGAAGGCCTGCTGGGTCCCATTCCCATGGTGGATGTCCTGGGGGGGCACCCGTGATGTCAGGGACCCCTCTGTCCACCCATGGGGTCCCCAACACCCGTGGGGGGGTCCCCCTGCCCCCCCTACCCAGTCCACGATGAGGATCCTGCCCACGCTGAGCCGCTGCTGCAGCAGCTTGGCCGAGATTGCCACAGAGTTGAAGAAGCAGAAGCCCCTGGGGACAAAAGAGGATGAGAGACAGGGGACATTCAGTGGTGGGGTGACCCCCAGGACACTGTGGGGTCCCCTCCCTGGGTGGGGGTCCCAGCGCTGTCCCCACACTCACATGGCTGTGGACTCCTCGGCGTGGTGGCCCGGGGGGCGGATGACCGCAAAGCCGTTCTGTGAGGACAGAGAGAGGGATGTGTGTAGGAAAGACAGGGACACATGTGGGACACAGGGACAATGGAACATGCATGGGACACAGGGAGATGTGTGGGACAGAGAGGAACACACAGGGCCATCCACTGAAGAGTTGGACTCGATGATCCTTGTAATTCCTTCCAACTCAGAATATTCTGCGACTGCGATGCTGAGAAGTGGTTTAAGGACACAAAGGGGCGTGTAGTGTGGCGACAGAGGGACACACGTGGGGTGGGGACACAGAGGAAGGTGTGGGACACAAAGGGACGTGTGTGGGACACAAAGGGACGTGTGGTGCGGGGACACAAAGGGACACATGGGACAGAGGAACAGGTGGTGTGGGGACACACAGGGACAAGTGGCGTGGGGACAGAGGGATGTGTGGGACAGAGGCACTTGTGGGACACAGAACGACACATGTGGGACAGAGGAACAGGAGTGGTGAGGGGAGAGGGACACGTGTGACACAGGGAGGGACACATGCAAGAAGGCAGCACATCTGCACACGAGCTGGCACAAGGAGCCCTGCACTCAGGGGAGTGTGCAAGAGAACAGCACATGCGTGCTCAGCCTTGCACAAGGACCATCTCGCCCCAGGGGAGTGTGCAAGAAGGCAACACACGCACACGAGTGTGCACAGGGACTGTCACACCTCAGATGAGTGCGTGACGCAACACACACACACACGGAGGAGTGTGCACAGGGACTGTCACACCCCAAGTGAGTGTGCAAGGAGCACACACGTGCACATGAGTGTCACAGCCCAGGTGAGTGTGCAAGACCACACACACAAGCTTGCACAAGGACTGTCACACCTCAGTTGAGTGTGCACAGGGACTGTCACAGCCCAGGTGAGTGTGCAAGGAGCATACATACACACGAGTACGTACAAGGACTGTCACATCTCAGATGACCGTGAAGGCAGCGCACACACACACATACAGGAGTGTGCACAGGGACTATCACACCCCAGGTGAGTGTGCAAGGCAACACACATGCACACGAGTGTGCACAGGGACTGTCACAGCCCAGGTAAGTGTGCAAGACCACGCTCACCTTGAGCTCGCCTGCAGCCACCTTGAAGGCCAGCTCGAGCAGGCAGCCCACGGCCGTGCGCACCGCGCTCGATGAGTGCAGCTCATTCCACACCGTGTCACTGTCCACCTGAGG